TATTTATTTAAAAATAAATAAAATTAATATTTTTAAATAAAAAAATTATAATATTGACATCATTTTTTCTCGTTTACTGGGTAGCAAGTCAACAACTCAAGTCATTTTCCAACATCAGAGGAAACGAGTAAAAAGAAACTAGAAGAAAGTAGAACGCACCTTCCTTCAGCCTTTTAATTATTACAAAACTGAGACCAGATGATGTCTTCCTTACACTGGAAGTTAATAATTTAAGAAGGAATTTTCTAACCTTTCATTAAAAAAGTATAATTAACATATTTTTTTATATTAATTGTTATAAAAATTAATTAATTATTTAATTAAAATATTACATTTAATATTAATAGTGAAGTTTAAGATTATTTTTTTTATTTTTAATATAATTTAATATTAAAAAAATTTTAGTTACACTTTTAACTTTAAATTATGAGTTAAAGATATAATGAATATATTTTTTTATCATAAATTTACATTAAAAAATAAATATTAATATTCAATTTATCTATAATCTAATTAAATTTATTTACATAATAAAGACATTAAAATTAAATATCAATTTTTATATTTTTTTTCAAATTAATGACACATCTTAAGATATAAATTTAAAAAATATATATTTAAAAAAAAGAAATAAACAAGTTATAAATAATTAACAGTTAAATTTAGCAAATGTCGTGAAAACTCCAGAAAGTTTCTTATGGATTTATGTTTTTTTTTTTTTTTTGAGCTGAAGTTAATTGATTTATGTCACATTTTATTAATGAGCAAATTAATTAAACAGTAATTTTCCTGTTTTTGAATCTGAGCTCTCACCTTGGCCATTATCGGTGGCGCGCAAGACGATGAAGACGTACTTAGCGAGAGGAATCAAGGTGAGTGTATACAGAATCAAAGAGAGCACGCCGAGGATGTCGTCGGGATGCTTGATGATGCCGTTGGAGAAGGTGCTGCTGTAGACGTACAGTGGCGAAGTTCCGATGTCTCCGTACACCACGCCGATGCTCTGGAACGCTAGTTGCAGTATCACACACCAATTCACAACCTAACAAAAAATAAAAAATTGAAATCAGTAACCTCGAAACTATAGTTTCTGTTGTCTATTGACCGAATTAATTATGTAAGGAGAGAGCAATTAACGACGCGGCGGCGGCGGCGGCGGAGGAGGAGTGCAGACCTTGGTGTCATGGCAGGAAACCTTGCCGGCTTCGATGTCTAGAGAATCGGAATGGCGAAGTTTCTTCGATGAATGTTTCTTTCCTAATTTGAGATGTGGAGAATTAACTGCTTCCGGCGTCTGACGGCTTTCTTCCGCCGTCGTCGTCTTTGGTTCTCGGTGATCAAGATCACCAACGGCCGCCATTTCTCTTAAATACTTGTGGATTGTAATTTCTTTACTAAAGCGAGAAATGTGTGTTTGGGATGGAAAGAGGAGATGAGTACTGAGGAGTTCCTGAAATCAGGAGGGAGGGAGGTGGGTATTTATACTGAGGGAGGGGACGCTTTTCTAACTTTTTTTTTTTTTTTTTTCTAAATGATAATTAATTTAAAAATAGTAAATTATGGGCAATTTGCGCGAGTGAGGGAAGGAAACCTCGGAGGAAAGCGTGGTGATGACCGCCATCCAGGGTATATTCGAGAATCTCTTTTTTTTATTTAAACAAGTACTACAATTTGTTTTTGGTTTAACAATAGATCCCAAAAAAATTTGAAACATTTTTTTTTAGGTAATATATTTATATGAGTATCTTGATCTTTAACTTTATATTGAAAAGATGGTAATTAGCATATCTATTGAAATTGTTTGCATATAGTGATGGTAGATTGCACCTAAATAATAACACATGTATTTAAACTTGCATTTTCAAACATAATACAAACCTATCTTTATAATTAGAAGCATACTTGGGAATTAGCATGAAACATGAAAGCGAATCTCACGTAGTTATTAGCCAAAAAAGAACAAAATTTGTTGCTTGACTTAGGATCTTTAAAATCTGTGTAGGAAAAAATTGAAGTTGATTACCTACATAATTTTATTTTGTAGTAGAGTTTTGCAATGGTAGTATGAACTTTTTTTTTATATCAAGAGTTAACTATTTAATAATATAGAGATTTAAACATTTAAATGTAACTTTAAATTAAAATTTTTAAATTTATTAGTGAATATTAACTTAATTAAATTTTTATTAGTAATAGTAACATGACATTAATTAAATTGATATAAACTAAGCTATACATTATATCAAATGAAAAGAATCAATCATAGTTATTATCATTTAGTAATATGATATTATGATGTGAGATATAATTTGTGAAAATTCTCACTTATTTCAAAAAGTTCGAAAGAATTTATAGTATTCATTCACCTTAATATTATAAACAGATAATGAATGAAGTTAACATTTTTTTTGCTCATTTTTTCCCTTAATCACAATTCCCAGGCTTAGCCACTTGAGCCGCTCTAACTTCTTGTTCTTGAGGATTTGAGTCCCCAACATATGATATCTGCAATTCCACCATTGAACTATAGGTCATTTAGAAGATTGATCTAAAATTGATGAAAGTCAATCATGTGAGTCACGTAGTTATCTCTAACTCGTTAATTTATGCTTACTCAACACCACTTCACCACTATGCTAGAAGAAATCGCCACTCTTGAAGAAGAATGGTTCAAGCAGCTCGCTCCGCATCGAATGTTCGCTTCTGTTCCTCCATTACCGGAATTGTTGTCGCCCACCGGCAACTTTTCCGGCCAGATCGAAGATGTATCAGTAGCCAAAATTGAGGCGAATGCCATTGATTGTGCAGAAAAGAACAGAGAAACGGGGAAAGTAGGAGTCACTGAAATGAAGAAGAAAGGCGACTGCTTTGCCAGACATGGAGGTTATTCCTCCTGTACGCTTGTCGGAATTTATATAGTCTCCACTTGGTCTATTGGAGCAATTACTGTTCATAGTTCAATTAATTAAAACTCATAAAACAATTTAAACAAAAGAAACTTTTATTAATACACTAAAATTTGTTATTTAAAACCTAATTTTGCATTTCTTCTAGACAGACATAAAAGATTTGAGAATATATCTTGCTCGGAACTCGAGAATCAAATTAACTGCTTGCAAGGAAATAAAATTTCGGGGTGGAAATGGAAAATACTCCAGTTGCTGAGCATCACAGGAGAAAGTGTAGCCATGGCGATTGGAAGTGGGGGGGGGGGGGGGGTAACTGAAACAAGTCTTCCAGAATTCCTTCCTCTATTCAAGTATGGTTAATTGTAAATATTCATAATTTCAAATAGTTAATGAAACTCAACTTCACAACCAACTTAATTCAAATATTAAGGTTAAAGACATAATCATTAAATTCAAAAGGTGATTCCAAAAGGGTAAACAGGAACCCATACAATTCCATAAATTACGTTTTAAATTTTAGACTTCGTTAAGGGGGTTGCATAGGTCACTTTTTTCACAACACATTATTTAAACATATATATAAATTGACTATAAAAATATAATTTTAATCAATATTTATATATTTAATCATTTTAATTAATATTTTATATCTTTTATAAAAAAAATAAAAAAAATATAATAATAATATAACATAGTGCAGTATAGCACTACAACACTCTCAAATAAAGTTTGATGGCCTTATATTATTTGAATTTGTAGTTTTTCGGTTTGAATGGACACATAAAGAAGATTATTTTAGGGTTTGGGTTGTCAATATGGTCACTATCAAAAGTGTTGAGAGTTACCTACTTTTCTAATATTTATTTTTAAAATATTAATTCTATTTAA